CCGCTACTTCCTAGTACCCAAGGCGAAAGGGGGCATGCGTCCCATACTAGACCTCTGAAACCTGAACACCTTTATAAGGAAGACAAAGTTCAGGATGGTGATGCTAGCCTGCATCATCCCATCGCTCAGAAAGGGGGTCTGGTATGCTGCTCTCGATTTAAAGGATGCGTACTTCCACATTTCAATTTTTCCAAGTCACAGAAAATTCCTTCAGTTCACGGTGGGACAGGACCACTTCCAGTTTATGGTCTTCCCTTTTGGACTGTGTACAGCCCCGAGAGTTTTTACCAAAAGTATGACGGTGGTAGCCGCGTTTCTGCGGCGGCACAGGGTCCAAGTGTTCCCATACCTGGACGACTGGCTCATAAGGGGCAAGTCTCGAACAAGTGTTGGGTCATATCTCAAGGGCCAGGGTTTTGTTCGAGGGTTTCGGCCTCCTCACGTCGCCCAGGGAGCAGCCACACATGTCGCCCAGGGAACAGACTTCCTCCTCATAAACAAGGCCAAATCACTGCTAGAGCCTACGCAAGTCATAGACTTTGTGGGGGCCCATCTGGACTCGCCTTTGGGCAAGGCGTCCCTACCGAGAGACAGATTTATGACCATTCGCTGTCTGGTAGTAGGTCTGCAGGAGTTCCCGACTACGACGGCGAGGACCTGCATGAGGCTCCTAGGTCACATGGCCGCGGGCAGGCACTTACGTGGTCCAACACGCCAGGTTACACATGCGCCTGTTGCAGGGGTGGCTCAAGGTAGCGCACAACCCCTTGAGGTCGCCGCTAGACGCGATAGTGACTACTCCTCAGGACATTCTCCGTTCTCTGGACTGGTGGAAGGACGAGGGCACGGTGTGTGCTGGGGTTCGATTCACCAAGCCGTCCCTGTCAGTGCAGCTGGTCACGGACGCTTCAGACGTGGGATGGGGCGCTCACCTGGGCAACCTCAGGACGTAAGGTACGTGGTCAATAGAGGAGGCTCACCTCCATATAAATATCAAGGAGCTGCGGGCAGTCAGGTTGGCCTGCAGGGGGTTCCTTCCTCACTTACAGAACAGAGTGGTGGCGGTGCTGACAGACAACACTACGGCCATATTCTATATCAACAAGCAGGGTGGGGCGCGTTCCTCTCCCTTGTGCCGGGAAGCCCTAGATCTATGGGAACTGTGTATAGCCCACAGTATTTTCTTGGAGGCATCTCACCTTCCGGGAACCAGGAACGGGCTAGTGGACAGGCTCAGCCGTTCGATCCAGGCGCACGAGTGGGTGCTAAGGTGGGATGTACTTCATGAGGTCTTCCAAAGGTGGGGGTTCCCCCGCCTGGACCTGTTTGCAACTCTGAGCAATGCCAAGTGCGGGGAGTTCTGTTCGTACATGGGGCATGGTCTGGGCTCTTGGAGATGCACTGCAGGTCAGCTGGCCCAGGGGCCTACTCTATGCCTTCCTTCCGTTCCCTCTGATCCACAACACACTCCTCAGAGTGCAGAGGTTCAGGGCTCGGATCATCCTGATAGCGCCAGTATGGCCTCGACAGTACTGGTTCACCACCTTGCTGGATCTGGCTGTGGAGGGCCTGCTCAGGCTACCCCTAGTGCCAGATCTAATCACTCAGAGCTGCGAGGCCAGGGTGGCTCTTCCATCTCTCCACCTAGCAGCATGGCTCCTCAGTGGCTCTCAGTGACGGAGAGAGCCTGCTCCAGAGCAGTTCAGGAGGTCCTCTTAGAAAGCAGAAAGCCGTCCACTAGAGCCCTTTACGAGGCTATGTGGAAGAGGTTTACTTCCTGGCTGGAGGGCAGGACGCTCGCTCCAGGTGAAGGGGTGGTTCCGACTGTCCTGGAATTCCTTCTCCACCTGTGGAAACAGGGCCTGGCCACAGCCTCCCTAAGGGTGTACCTGGCGGCCTTCCACGCTGGAGGGGGGGAAAGGTCTATCTTTGCCAATCCCTTGGTTAAAAGATTTCTAAAGGGAGTCGACAGGATGATGCCATATGAGAGACCTCCGGTACCGGCTTGGGACCTTAACCTGGTCCTGACTGCCCTTATGAAGCCCCCGTTCGAGCCCTTGGCTTCATGCTCTTTGATACATCTGTCCTATAAGGTAGCTTTCCTCGTGGCCATTACCTCGGCC